CCAATCAAATTATAATTATAAAAACGATTCATTGATCGACTCATTGGCGGTGCGATAGCGGGCGGGCGGGTCGTCCCACACGGCACTGGAGGTGCGCTTCTGGTACTTGGGGTGCAAAGGCTTCTTAGGGAACATGAGATCGAAGTCGGTCTTAAAGGCCTCCAACAGGACATCCCCGGAGCCGAACACCTCCTTCACGTCGCGGTACACCTGCTTATAGGGCTTACTATACTGGCGGTGCACTTGTTTGATGAACGCCTGACCCCTCGCCCACCCGGGGATGCGTTTGCGTGGCTGTGACTCATCGTCCGTGTCGTCATCGCTGGCTATCTGTGAGATGTCGTAGTTGTCGTAGTCGTGCTCTTTGGGCGGCGGAGTCATGTCGTAACTGCTCGTCACCTCCACCTCCCTGTCCATCGAAAACGTCTCGTTGGCCACCGGTTTAGTGTACGTCGAGTTCGGGTCCGGTTTGTGGGTCTGAAAGAGGGCTCAGGGATTAGATTCATGAGAGAGAGAGAGAGAGAGAGACGTATATAACATACCATCGACTCATTGTCCAACACTTTCAGTAGATTACTAGAACTGGTAGTCGTGGGCACAGTGGTGTGTTGGGCCGTTAGTTCGGGCGACAGCTTACTGACGACCACTCGTGGCATGTAAGCAGCACTGGTAGCTGTGGTGACAGTCGCCGTGGGCTCACACTTCTTGATGTACGAGTTGGCCATCGCTTTCTGTTGGAGACTATTGTTGTGGTGTTGTATGAGCGCAGCCATCCTCTCCTGTTCCCTCTGTCGCTCCCTTTCGGCGTCGTGTTTGCGTTGCAACTCATACTCCCGGCGCTGCTTCGCCTCCAACTCCTTGGTCTCCATATCGCGTCGCCTGCGCTCCACTTCGCGCTGCTTCGCAAACACCTCCTCCTGTTTGCGTCTCAAGAGCTCCCGGCGCTCCTCCTCCCGCTTGCGCTCCCATTCCTCGCGCTTCTGTTGTTCGCGGAGGAGGCGTTCCGTTTCGCGCAGTTTGTTCGCCTCCCGGAGCTCTGCCGCCCGCATAGCCTTCTCCTGACTCTTCATCTTCTTTTCGGTCACCGACTGCTCGATAAGTATCCGTCGCTTCTCGACGGCCCGCTTCTCCTTCTCCTGTGAGGCCAACAGCCGCTGCCGGCGCTCGTCGTCCGCCTCCTGACGCTTCTTAAGCGCGCTGTCCGTCAGTGCCTTCGACTCGGCCGCCGATCTCACCCTCGAGTGCGAGCGAACCGCGCGAGC